CAAAATATGCCTGGTCTTCGTCAGGTTATTTCATCGGTTTTGAATTTTAGCTCAGCACGTACGCATAAAAAGCAAGAAAAATAAATTAAAAGTTTAACATTTTAAGCAAAAGCTTCATCAGCGATATAAAACTAAACTCGCAAACAAGATTCTGATTCGATTGTAGCTCTAGAAGAATTCTTTCCGATATATATATGGCGATATTGGAGCTGGAATTGTGAGGAAAGTTTGTAAAATTTGTTTGATTATTTTGTCGATTACATTGGGTTTTTCTGGCACTAAATGACGACCATTTTTCCAATTAATCTACTGAATGAATCCTATTTATTATATTTCTTTTCATTCATAAAGAGATATTCAAATTGATTGCCTTTGATTGCCGTAAGTTTACTCAACCCTCTGTTGTATCAAAAAGTTGAGTAAACTTTTCCTACGGGGAGCCTCAGTCAAAGCTCGCTTTTTCTCAAAGGATGTTAAGCTAATTATTTACTTAATTGAGCTAGGATGGTCTGCGAGGGTGCTGCCTTGGCACGGCCAATCATTTCGTTTCATATGAAGCAATGTCATATCATGTGCTCAACTAAATACGAATTGTACTTGAACTTCACCAATTGAATTCACGTTGTGCTAATTACTTTCGTCATCATTTTAGGAGCTTCAAGTAGTACTCTGAAACCTCAGGTAGAAACGCAGCGTAATTTTTGTGTCGCACATGCAACTAGAGTAACTTTTGCAGGAGGCGACTACAAATGAAGCATTTGGCAAAATGTTTCCAAATATATTTTTGCGCTATGCACGTCAATTAAGTACCACTCTACAGGCTTCATGAAAAACATAAATCATAACGGAACCTGAACAGGATGCTAATTAGTTTTTTACTTTCAAGGCACGTAACGACAATTAAGCTGCCCTTTTCTTGCTTTCATCATTACCTAAATAATCTACGATGCGATCAAATCCTTACATCAGTTTTATGGCTCGGAGCATTTAATTTCACTCACTTCTATAGTCTCCCCGTTTGATCCCACAGATGAAATCATCACCAAACTCGTGCATCTCCCTGTATCTGTATATAGTGTGGTTTGAAACGACATTCCTATTCTCTTCCGCACGCTTCATGAATACTTTCGTGTCTCAAATTGAGACTTCTTGCTTCTCGTCAAATGGAGAAGTCTCGGCAGGCTGTCAAATCCCGCGGACAATTGACGATGTACGATTCTGGTCACCGGATAATTGACAATTAGGACCCGATCGCCGCTACTGATGGAATCTTCGATGGTGACTCCAGCCAATTGTCGACTTTGTCCCTATAGAAACCCAGAGCCTCCAGAGCTCGACCGCTCAAACTCATGAGGTGTTGATGGATCGAGGGTGTCACGCAACAGGAATTCTGTGTTAATTTCTACGAACCTTTTCTGTGTATCCATAGCATGGGCTTTGCCAAAATGAGACCTACGCTATGACGAGATCATTTAAATGATGATTTTTTTAGTTATACCTAATGAACTTAATAAAGTTATAATATGCTGTCATTTACCAATTCTTTTATCGTTCCGTAACACTACAGTTTATGTTTTTCGGACTAATACCATCTTGAAGCTTGTAGCATCGCGAATTTTTTCATGATCGCTTTTCAAAATTTTTATGTTTTACGTATTTGTATCATTTTTGTTAGTTAATTTATGCTCCATTTCTTGTCGTCATTAGCAAAAATCGTATTCTTAACAAGCATTTGTTTGGTTGTTAATGGAGCGGCTTTCCAGACCCTTCAGATAACCATTAATTATTCATTAAATATATCTATATAAATGTTCTGTGGATTTATCTCTTTGTAACATTACCAGTACCGCCACAAACAATAAACACCATTAGGGATTGTGGAAGGATTGCGTGAGTTTAGGATCTGTCTAAAAGGATCTGATGTTTCACAAGTAAGACTGGGATTAGTTTATGTCAGTTCAGAGCAGAGATGACGGGATGTAGCTCGACAGGCTTCTTCCATAAAGCAGCAAGGTTTATGTCGGACTCAAATCTTTTGGGTGCGAAAGAAGAATGTTTATGGGAAAAAACTGTCTCATAGATACTGCATTAGACATTGCTGAAATATTTTTTTCAATAAAATGAATTAAAAAAATAAATTAATGTTGCTCCCGAATCTAACACCATTTGATCAATTCATAATTAATTATGCAAACGTCGTGGTTTACAAGCCTCTGTGAGCTTGTAGCTCTTACCTATTCGAAAATATTTATTATTTTTTTACACCTTTAGGTTATTTCTCTCATCTCTTTTCCTGATCCGCAATGTTGCTCATCGATAGTTGTTCGACTCGTCGATAACTTGCAGATGTGTGTTCCAAATTCAATACGCTATTTGAGTAGCGAACATGGATTTCCAATGAGCTATTGTTCGACTGACAATCCATGACGAAATTAAAAAAACCATCAGACGTCGAATTTTACTTTATTTTTTTCTTCCGCGTTGACGCGGTTTGCGTTAAAAAATGTCAATAAAATAATGTTGAATAGCTTGCTTTAAGTTTGTACGATGCAACGGGAAAATATTTACAATATTGATATTCCGTAACATTCTATTCATGAATTACCTACTTGGTGTTCATCTAATCATGCAAATCAAGAATGTCATTTGCTGAAATTTACATCAAGCTCATTAGTTTCTTGCTCATACATACTCTTTGCAAGTTCATGACCAATTGTTTTGAATAAGATGCTCATCTTGAATTAGTTATCCTTGAATTTATCGTTCCTTAAAGAGCGCGATATAGTGAAAAAGTCTTCCATTATAGTCACGCACGTCTTGCATACACGGTTACTCGATATTTTTGCCGATATTTTCAGAGGCGAACAGTTTCCTACACACCAGACAGGAGCCCCCGTTTGTGAGGAGTATCGGAGAAAGTTTCGCATTTAGGAAGTTAGTGACAATTTTCAACGCTGGACACGGCCATGTTGACGCTAGACTACAAAGCCATCAGAGGGGAGAAGTGAGGGACTTGTCGGAGCCCACGCTGCTGCAACGAAACCTCAACTTCTTACTTCATCTTTTTATGTAATCCCCATGTATTGGGGCTTCACGCATCTACATGGGATGAGCGAAAACTGAACTCCATTGTAGCCGAACTACAGGCCAAGTATAAATCTTCATTTCACAAAATATTACCATCAGTTCACTTAGCAATATAAATCTCCCAAGTCACATGTTATCTTAAAATCGGTTCACCAATCCGATTAAATTGCATCAATATCTACACTGATGCTCCTTGTGATAAGTTTTCAGATGGCCATGATCACAGGCTTTACATTGCTAAGTTGGGTTAACGTTGGATATTGTGCATAATTTTCAGGTTGTTTTAAGATGGTAATACCGCATTAAAAAAATTTAATGCGGTATTACCATGCGGTATTATTACCTATTAAAAATATAATTGAAGTTGATAGTTATAATGCATAACTAAATAATGAAAATTCGGATAACCCTTCTATTGAAGCAGCGAATTCGATACCTTTTAGCTGCCTCGTGACGTTGCCTCCCAGAACTCTTATCTCTCGCATGCAGGTTGCGTCAAAGAGATTAAAGCCAGGCCGCCTTCCCAAGAATAGATTCAAATTCTGGAGAATAATTCTAGTGAGGATAGCTAACACTGCGGTCTGACCTGCCACACAAATTCGAGTGTTACAAACGTGCTCATTAATTGCACGGCATGTCTGAGTCACGTTACTAACGAGGGCTCCTAATTCGACACAATTAATGGCATTGCCAGCTCCCCAGATTTGAAATTTACGGTCTATTCGTGTAATGCAAGGTGCAGTTAATTTTCACAGACCCCATCTCAGGAAATGTAAATTTCCCGAAAGGTCTCTCGAACTTTCCCTTAGAGTAATAAACATTACCGAAAGTGTGAGCAATGAGCAGTGCGCCATACGGTAGGCATGAATATTTTTTTCTCGTGAATCGAATTTTTCTATCTCATGATTTTACGCCAATGACGAATAGTTATTGAATCTACACGATCAGTAAACAATTATCACAGAACAATCATCACGTTTATACATATTATTTACTTTTTCTAAATCATTTCATGTATATAACAATTACCAAATGTGTTGAGGACAGGATAAATGAGACTTTGAATATCATGACAGTTATTTCCTTAAAAGATAACCAGATAAGCATTAGAAGGCGTGAAAGCTGTCCGGTTCGCTGAATTTGTGAACAAAAAGAATTGTTTTATTTCCGAGTTACATGAATTATTAAGGTACACAAATAGGGCAACAAATATTTTTGGAAATTTTACACAATAATTTGTTAAAGTAGAGCATCTTTCACTTATACAGCTAGTCTTTCTGCACTACACGTGTTGTTTGGCTCCTTCTAGATAATTACAGAAATAGTTTGCTGATAAAAATTGCAACCGGCGTTAAAAATCAGTTACATGCAGCAAAGTGTTGAAGTTTTATATCGGTGATGTTTATTAAATTCGGAAATTTTGTGATTGTCATCTTTTGACAGCTGTGGAATTTTTTAAAACAAATTGTATGGCTTAAATTTGAAACACCGACTCCCAACTATTCATAATGCATATATTTTGTGTTTGGGACGAACAATTTTGGTTCCACGTTATCGGATAACTTATAAAAAAAAATGTATTTTTGCAATTTTCCACTTCACGAAATTACATAGAATTATTTTCGTAAATAGAAAAATTCATTGAATAAATCGTGAGCCGTTCTCAATTTTTATTCGACTATGGAATACTTTGAGGGGTCCTCTACACATCAATGTATTAGAAGTTATGTTCACGAGCCTAAAATTACATATCAGTCAAAGGCTTTCTTAAATTATGAGCATAAGCACGACATTTCTACAAAATGAAGACAAAATCATGCTGCCAAGCATGCAGGCTGAAATACGATGCTGTAATTACGTACATATATATTTAGGCCGTAGAATTCATTAAAAATATAATTGGCTTCCTTAGCTTCGTTAGGATCCCGGGAATAAAATCATGGATTTACGAGTATATACATTTGCACAATCCTATAAATTCTACTCAATATATTCCACAACAGGATATAATACTCCACATAATTCGTTTCCAATAAATCTACATCTGCGACAAACAATTGAGGATGGCGCGCACGCCTCGAACCCGTTACTTAGAGAATAAAATTGCGGCGCTCACATTCTCACGACCTTATTGGATTTTCCCCGGAAGCGGCTTAGTCATTTATTCACATATGCTCTGGGAACTGCGTTCATCTGCAAGAATTTTCGCTTATTAGACAAGGGAATCGCTGAACAAAAAACGGTCCAGCAGCGCCTGCTGCCATGAAAAGACTTGGGCTGGCCGCTACCAGGCTTAAAATTAACGCCGAGAACGAGCTCATTGTGGCCCCTGAGCTCGAGTCGATCCTTTGAACGGCCGCCGTCTTGTCCCCTGGAAAATACACATTGGATTTGGTCAACATTACTAAAGATTATTCATAGCATATTCGAGTTATGCATAGATAAATCGAACTTATTTCATGTATGTCAATAATGTGAAAAAAGAATGCGTAAATAAGCGATGTGGGAGACACATTTTCTGACATCACAATTCAGAAATAACTAAACAAATATATTTTCTGCTTATGAAGATTGATTTCCTTAAACTGTGACTTTTATCTTTTTTTCTATATGAATTAATTGTTTATTTCAATTCGGTACCCCTTTCCTTCATTCATTTTAAATTAATTAGACATAATAAGGTGCAGCATCCTAGAAAATTTCCTGACGTATATAAATTTTCGAAAATGGCTTCAGCATCAAGATAGAACAACTACCTTCAGTGACAAAGACGAGTGTGGAGGCGGGCTTGGTCTTGGGAGCGTCGCAAGTGTAGTTGCCCGAGTGTCGGTCCTCAGCCAAGTTCATCTGCAGGCGACTCACAGACGCCACGCCCGTGCCGTCGTCTGGGGCTGAAATAAGTCCGTCATCCAGACCCCCGTCGATAAGCTCTACTAGGGGCATCTTGGGTTCAAGGCTGATCGTGAAGTCCGGTCTATCTCGGAGGAAATTCAATAGCTCTCCGTTGTGGTACCAAAACACGTAGTGTGGAGGCGTTGGACTCTGTGGAAGACAACAATTCGATTACAGTGTAACGTCTACTCTCTGGTTCATAGTATTAGTTGATTAGCAGTAGGCCCTCTTCTTGGTCCTTTGGAAGACATCACGAGCGTGACCTTGATGGCTTCTCGTTTTCTTAACCTGGTACAAAATTCTAGATCATATTTTGAGCTTCGTATAAACCTCGAAACACTTTATTGCTGACTTGCCGATATGTAAGGTAGCTAATTTTATTTTATTTTACTTTAATTATGTTACAATTGTTAATTTCGCAAAGCCGTTTAATTTTTTTTTTTTTCAGGCAGATAAGCAGACACAATTCGAGATAGATCAATCAGTTTATGAGTGTTGAACAGTTTCTTCTTAGATCGAAAAGTTGCAGCATTGTTGTGGAATAATTGAAAGCTACTTGAAAGACAAACAAGTATCAAATGTGAATTTTTCATTAAGTTTCATATCCGATGAAGGCATGGTTTAAACATATTCTTTGCCATTGCCGCTATTTCCACTCATAAATCGCAAGAAAGACCATATAAAGTTTCTGTACCCAGCGTAAGCTACACTGCTGAACTGAGGAACTTCTCATTCGAAGTTCAGGCATTGAATACGAAGGCAGCGCTTCCGTTTAGTCCTGAGTGACGTAAATGCCAACCTGCTCACACGCAGAGGAATCTCCGCAATTCGTTGCCCTGACGTTTATTGATGCAAATGCGTGACATGAACCTGAAATCTGCTCCATATTAATGCTTGTACATCACATGTTGCGGCTCTTATTAAAATTTCCTACAAATCCAGCCGAAGTTTGTTATCTTGTCCCACCAAGTAAGAGTATGAAATTTCCGGTAAAGATTTTTTTATGAAAAACACGGATATTAATATTCCAGGAACCAATTCAACATCTAATTTTATTTCATATTTATAAGGATGTGATTTTTAGATTATTTTGCAGATGTCATGCCGGTAAATATTTTATTCATATTTATTTTTTACGAGAAAAATTCGCTAAATCTCAACCCTCCGTCTTTGAATAAACAATGCCTATAAACAATGTATTGAAATTCAACGTCAGAAATTAAATTTCTTTAAATCGAATAAACACATTTAAAGTTTGTACATAACTCCTGATTAATATTTAAATTTTTCTTCAGTACCAATTGATTTTATCTATTTTTGAACCGTTCCATAGGATTATGCAGAATTGAAAACGCAACAACGGGTTTGAGGGCGTCGTTGATCATTTACACGGCGCCATTCAGTCCTCTTTATACAACTGTGCTGCTTAAGCTCTGGCAATATAAAAAGTATCATATCAAAGTGTCATATCGAACTGTCATATCAAAGTGTCATATCAAAGTGTCATATCAAAGTATCATATCAAAGTGTCATATCGAACTGTCATATCAAAGTGTCATATCTAAGTGTCATATCAAAGTGTCATATCAAAGTGTCATATCAAAGTGTCATATCAAAGTGTCATGTCAAAGTGTCATATCAAAGTGTCATATCGAAGTGTCATATCAAAGTGTCATATCAAAGTGTCATATCAAAGTGTCATTTCAAAGTGTCATATCAAAGTGTCATTTCAAAGTGTCATATTAAAGTGTCATATCAAAGTGTCATATCAAAGTGTCATATCAGAGTGCAATATCGAAGTGTCATATCAAAGTGCCGTATCAAAGTGTCATATCAAAGTGTCATATCATTTCCTACGGCTGCAAGAAGTAAACTTTTACTGTTTCATTTCAAGCTGAAAAAATTCAGTAAGTGAGCCATCTCCAAACTAGCGTTTTGTACTTAATTGGATTGTTTTGTACTGGGAGCGCAAGTCAAATTCTCGTTGTCTTTATACGCACATGGAGCTAACGTCGTCATAGCAGAGGCCCAGGGTTACGAGGTACTTGCTGCGGCATAATTAACTTAGGGACTTGAGCTGCAGCAATAAAATTATCACGGCATCATTCGCATCAAGTTAATGAAGGCTGTTGCACACGCAAAGGGCAATGCGCGAATCACTAGGGATCTTAGTCGCTCCTAATTCCACAGAGCAACATTTTTTCTAGGCTCACTGGTCTACTGTAGCACAGATGAAAGCATACTCTTCGTAGTAATGTGGCCTCAAAATTCCTCTTATTCCTCAATATTTAACAGCTTTTCTCATATTATAAACTTTGAGAAATTAATGAATTTTTGCTGAATAACTCTGAATAAAATACAAATTTTCCACGAATTCAATGTTTGGCATAATGTTGCTACGTCAAATTTAGGTTTTCTTTTGGTTTTCATTATTCAGAATACCGAGAGAGTCTCAAATTCTTTCGAAGTTTCTTAAGATTTAGAAAGTTTCGATCAAGGTACGAACGTAAGACGAGTGACTTAAAGCCAAAGTCGTTTAAGCGCAGTGTGTTGAGTCTTTTAGCTATGCTATGTTGGAGTACAGGCGTCATGCCGATTATTGGATTGATGTCAGTAGCCACTAAAAACTCTAGTCTGGCAGGTAACAAAGTTCTTGTTGGTTCCTTGGTAAGTGATGATCTATCGATGCAAGACAAGAACTCAGAGTTGACCGGAAATTAATGGCTTATCAGGTCCCTGCACTGGTTGAGACGCATTCAAATATCACAACGAATTTTAGAGAAGGCATTTGTCAGCGTTTAGGAGAAACAGTGCAGTCAATCGGGTTTGTTTTCGCAAAACAGAATATGGATTTGACATTCAATTTTCGGAACAATTTTTGCCGTTTGTGACACTAAATGATAATTTTGTTTTTAGCTCCTGTGAATTTCAATTTTTGCTGATGAAAATGAATGCATTTTATAAAACTGAGCAGAGATTATATTCAAACACGTTCAGTATATTCATATTAAAGATGTTCATTCAGAAATGAAAGTAATTTTCTGACTGGACTGGTTTCAATTTAGGGTTTGATGAAAGTTACTTTGAAATGATTTCAAATGAAATTTTTAAATATGGGATCTTCTTTGGTATTCTCTCCTGGAATTTCTGAGATCTTACCTTACTGATGATGCATGTGAGGATGATGGGCGAGCCTCTGTTGACGTGGTATTGTCCTCTGCCCGGAATGTGGGCCTCAGGCGTCACGACCCTCAGGTTAACGAAGAGGGAAATAATGCCCGTGCCAGTCGAGACCTGGCATTCGTATGTGCCGTTGTCTTTGGGGAAGGCGTATTTAATATGCAGAGTCCAGTCCTGCGTGCCTGGCTCATGCAGCACTGAGAATCGCGGGTCTGGAGTGTAGAGGTCGTTGCCTGATGTCAGGACGTGCCAGTCGCGGCTCCTGATCCATGATATCTGCCAGATAAGAACGGAAAATTAATCCCACATACAGAAGTCTGTTTCTGATACATCAGAAGAAAAATTTTCAGGTTAAGGATTTTAGCGGAACATGAGTAGAAATTCAGTTGCAGTTTGCCATGTTGCGAATACGTCCCAAAAATGGCTGCACACGTTTCAGGTGTAGGCTGCTAAACTTTTTAATTATTATTATGTAGAAACTCAACAGCATAGTGAACAAAAGTGATAAAAAAATTGCTGCTATTGTTTAACTTGTGGGTATGGCCACTCGTAATCCGAATCATGGGGCTGGTAAAATATTACTTCATAACTATATTTTATAACTATATTTTTAACCATATTTACCTAAAAAGAACCTAAAATGTAACGTACCTGACGGTCGCCCAGATGTCCCACTCTGCAGGGCAGGAAGGCAGCTCCGCCTATCTGTGCGGTTACGTTAGTAACGCTGTTGTTGAGGGCCGCTTCTGATGGACCTCCTTGGTACGTCAAGGTCCAGCGGCCTCCTCCTGAGGCCGCGTCTGCAGACTTGGCGCGATGTTTCTTGACCAAACCGTTAGCCTGGACGCGGCTCTTGGGCGGCGCTCCACCCGGCTTGCCCTCTGGTGTCGATGAGGCTTCTTCTTGACTGAAGACACGAAAGGCATGGAAACAAAATAATTACTATTATTTTAAGCATAATGTTAACTGTGATTACTGTATAACGTATGCAATGCCGATTTTTTTCAGTGAAATTAACTGTTATGTGAAATAAAATGTTAACTGTGATTATTACGCATGCAATGTCGATTTTATTTTTTTGCGATGAAATTCACATCCAAAGAGTGATAATTCCGACGACATATTTTTCGATACAGAATTAATTTCTTATTAGTTCTTCAATGTTATTCGATGACAGCGATTCATCTGGATTGAACAGAATTATGGGAAACTTCAATAATGGAAATTAATTTCGATATTATTTTATATTAATACCGATGAGATTTTTTTATTTATTAATACTGAAATTTTTTGACATTTTTATTTCTTAACAATGAGATATTTTGAGATTCTTATTTCTTAAAACGTATTTGGATAAATTGCAATGCATGCAAACCTCCTCGTTCACATTTTTATAACCGAACAAATGATGATATACTTCTAATGCAAATCCAGGAAAGTTCACTTTGCATAATCAAAAGGTGTATACAAAATCAAGCGGCTATAATAAACAAATTCTACAATGAAAATAAACTCTAAGAAAAAATGTATATTTGTTTTCGAAGCGCGGACTCAGAAATTTCTCTATTTTTTCTGTAATTGTGAAGTTTATCATTTTTATGGACGTTTCAGGCATACCTAGTATTCACGCATCTCACATTTTTGTAAGAGTTTGTATTTTTGTCGCTAAGTTATCAATGTTTGTCGGTGACAAGCGTCGAAGCGTTGAAGACGCACACAATATTTCCAATATCTCACAATATTACACGTGTGCGGTGCGATTTGTGATTCTCATCATATATTTGTTTAGGTTCACTAATGAAATGAAAATGCGCAATAAAATTTAACACACTATTATCCTCAGTTTATTTAATTTTTAGTACTACAATTTCATACAGTTAACCAAATAACATATTAACAAATATTCAATTCATTATTGCATGATTTTTTATATCTAAAACTCTCTCATTATCTCACTGCCAACGAATGCAAAAAGGTGCCGAGAAAGGGAAGAATTATAGAGACGACGTAGAAAAAAAGATCGATTTTGTACGCAACCAATTAAATAAAATGAACGGAATGCTATATAAGTGATAAATTTAATTTTAACAAACTACGAGGTTAAGAAAAATTTTATGATTTTCAATTTAATTTTTTATCTTCGTATTCGCCTTAGTTCAGCTGATATCCTTTTTCAAATTTTAACATATTAGGTTTGAAATAAATGAACTTATGTAAAATAATCGAGTGTCTGAGGCATGTAGACATTATTCATTTTGGGTCTCACCTGATCAGGTTTTGAGTTCTAGCTTGTGGGGCATCGTTCAGCATCATCTCTGTTGCTTCTAATTGAGCATATTTCAGCGACGGAGGCTCTTCCTGATTAGTCTCTGATGCCGGGCTGAAAATTTGACCGTTTTTCTCTGGTGGCGTTTGTATTTTTATTTTATAACTTGTATTCTCTTCGTCTTTTGGTGTAATTTTAGATTCGGTTTTTGCATCATTTTTCACTACCATAACATCTTGTTTCACTTGTGTTTCTAAAGCTTCAGGTGTAGTTAAATGAGAATTTGCTTGTTGACCTGGAGGTCTAACAACCTTCGTAGACACGTGACTGTTATGCATGGAATCTTGGTCGTCAGGGACTGGCTCGTAAATTGATTTGACGTAACCGGATTGCGGGTATTGCGATGTAGATCCCTCGCCATCCGAGTAGAGCAGTTCTGCTGGTCTGTCATCGCTGTAGTCGTCGCCGTAGCTGTACGAAGTTTCGTATTTAGATTCGTAACTTTGGGCTTCCGAGGCGTAGTGCTGATGGAGGTTGGATGCTGATTGTTTGTGGTGACCTTTGACGTGGTGGTGGTGGCCATGAGGGGTGTGGTGCATACGACGTGATGTGTCCATGCGTTCCGAGGCAGCGAAATGTGATGCGCCCGTCTCGTACATGTCAGAGTCGTGGTGGTGACGACGGTTTCTTGGTGGGTGATGGTGGTGGCCGTGCTTCCCTTCACAAACTAAAAGAAAAAAACATGTGAAATTAATGCGACCGGTAATCATTTCAGGTCAAGAGTTATAGTTCAGCTCTAATTAGCAGAAAGTTTGTCGTGCGTGCGAGAGAAATAGTCCAGTTTAACAATAATTGTTACTAAGAATTCAGTTTCAGTTATACCAGGCCTGATGGTTGATCATGCCACAGTTGTTCGATCCAATGTAAAATTTTATTGATGAAGAATAAATTAGAGTCTAATTTAAAGTGAAAAAAAATTGTTAAGTTTCGTATAATAAGTTATACATTATTTGCTATCACATTTACACCAGAAAAAAAGTAATGATAGGGTGCCGTGACTAATGTTGAACTTGTATATAAACTTCAGTACTCAATACTACTTATACTAACATTTTTTGAGCACTACATTCGGACTGTTATTTACTTATATTTCCAACTGTGACAATATTGCTGCTAAAATAAATTTCGTTTAGGTAAAAATGAACTTATATAGCTTGTCAAATAAAGTATCCTCAATTTGTATAATGCAATCTCTACTCTAAATTTGCTCAATTCACTGAAATAAAATTATCATTTTAATAAGTCTACCTCATCAATACATTGAGTGACGTTGTGGCGCATTAGTTCGACTAAACTTCCTTTATATTTGCATTACCAATGCGATTAAAAAAAATTCCTGTCTCATAAATGCTCATTTTTGGTAGTAAAATTCATTTATTATTTATACCACACGTTTCATGACAAAAGCATACTGTATTTCATTGTGTTGCGGAAGAATAATTATCGGTTTAATGCAACTCATACATACAGTCAGAGTTAACGGAAATTTCTCTGCAAATGAATGACTTTGGAACTTAACACTCCTCGATGAACTTCACTAATTTCAAAGGCAGTTTTGCTTACATTCTTCGTTCTCCAAATTTCAAAACACGCAAGTGGACCCATGCATAGTACCATATTTCATAAAAAAAAACAGCCACAACCAAGTAAGAACATGTGTTAAGCAGCTAGGAGGCAAAAGTAAAAGTGACATATGATAAAAGTACGAGTAAACGGTTATTTATGAACTAAATCCTCGTTATGAACTTTAAGTTCGTTTTAATATCCGTAACGTATCAAACATTTCCCTTTACACCTTCCTGCAATTCAAAATAATTCGAAAATCTTGTAGCACCAAGATATTGGTGGCTGTAAGAAATAACAAAAAGAATCTATTGTGAGAAATTCCTCATTTCCCACCGTTAATTAGTATATATGCTAGGGTTTGTTTATAAGATCCATTATTAACCGAATTATCTTACTTCTAGAATCCGATTCTCTATCTTAAGCCGAAGAATAAGTATTACCAGTAGTCTAAATCAGGGGTTCTGCCGCGGATCTTATCAGTCCTCATCAGCATCACTTATCGATTGTATCAAATTATATGTGCCGCCAGTGACAAAATCTGTGTTAAATCAAATCCAATTCAAAGTGGTAAATCCAATCTAGATTCAAAAGATTAACATTTCTGCAGTTTTCATTGCCGATTGCCAGTCATATCAGCCATACAACCGTTCGTCAACTTACCTGCATCAACGTTCAAGTATCTACCATCTTCCTTTAAACCTGTTTCTCTATCCCTTGGTTTGTGTGAATGTCGTTTGAATTTCGTTTTGTTTATTTTTTTTTTGCCCTATTAAATTCATTGATTCAATCTGTTGGGAAGTTGGACTTAGTTTAAGTGCTACAATTCAAATTAATTCTAAATCAAACTTAATTTTGTAAATTTATTCAGGATTTATTATAAATCAAATCAAGCTATTCAAATTTTCAGTAGTTTTTGCTCAAGAAGGGCGTTTCTTGACGTCACTTGCAAAGATCACTGTTTAAATCTTAGTCTTAAGTCTTTATCTCAAATTTCTCAAGCATCAAAACCTTCTACTGTTCTAGCTATTTTTCTCGTCCAACTTCCCACCCCTTAAACTGATTTCCGCTATTTTCCTGCATTATTCTACCTTCAATAAGTGATCACCACACTGGGCATTTAAACCTCAGGTTTGTTGTGGTTTTTCTTTGCAAATAAATTGACATTTTTTTTATTTATTTTGGCTATAATTTGCTACCTCGTAATTTCGCAAAATTTATAATTTTAACTTGTTTCTTCTACAGTATACATTAACCCGATCCTGAAACTGGCCGGCCTTACGTTATATCTACGTCACGTGTTCTGTCAACCATCAACCTTCAACTTCTCTTATACCTTTTTGGATTCGGCGCTCTTCGACTAAATATTTTCGCCATTACTATGAAGCTAAACCATTCGAACTGAAACTCAAGATGATTCTGTTTGATGAATTAAAATAAAAGTTTCCTTGATTATTTCTTTAACTACCTGTCGATTGTGTGAAAACCTCACACTATACAGTCGAAAATGTCTTGAGAAACTCGTGTATAATCTTGGTAGAATAATCAGAAAGGTCATCATTTTGGCACCAAAACTAATGTGCCCCGAATCATCCGCTTATGCGGGTCCCTTCAAATGTCGCCGCATTAAAAAAAGTTACGAGAAATACGAACCAATTCTAACTATTCATGACGAGGGGATCTTCCGTCCAAACCAGACTTATCAATATTAATTTGAATCACATGAGGTTCACCTGAATTCTCAGACCAAAAATTTTGGTTGTAATCATCTTCGATTTTAAAATCGTTTTCATAGGCCAATAATTATTCTGTTCAACATTTAGTCTATTTTCCAAGCAAGTTGAGCAAATTTGATGGCAAAATTCATGAGAATATGTATCAAAAAGCGTGTCAGCCAGTTAGCATTCATCGAATAGCTGGGTGCGAGCTACCCAGAAGATATTCTTGTCTATTTACCTTCACTGTGTCACGAGAAAGTACATTCCAAGCTCGCTCTAAATACGCTTTACTGCAAAAAAGTTTCATGATTGCTACATTGCGTGACATAACGCAATTAAACTTCCCGAAGGCTTTTCTTAATACCAGTTAATAGCCAAAAAATAAAACTTTCGATATTTGCTCAGTGCCGACAAGTTGCCTTATATTTTGCTAATGCCAACACATCGTCGGGTACACTTTGTCATCTGGGTCACGTTCCGCTGTAAAAGGTCCAATCGTACAAGGAGTAATGCTACCCACGACCTCGGGTGTTTATACGAAGCCAGAGGGATAATGTGTCGTAGCCAAAACCCAACTTCCGATCAGTACATTGGCACGGCATTTGCCCATGATGAATGTGCTTGTTTTTTATGCTGGCGTCAATAGTCATTAGTGTTCCACTTTAAGCGTTGAACTGGGAGTAATTTTTTAGTCTCGTCAGGTTGGAATACACGCGATATTTTTCGTTCATAATTATTTTTCACCTATGCAGGCATCAATGACAAGGAATTTTATACCGTTCAGCCTGAAAATTTTCCCAAAATCCTCACAGAGTTTTAAGGAAATGCCAATGAGTTAGAATTAAATGACAAACACTAATGCTCAGTAAGTGGATACAATGCAATGAATATCAGAGAGTTTGAAATGCGTTGTTTCTAGTGGGGCTTGCATCTCTTCGACTTACAATTCTTCAAAGAAATTATGACTTGCAAAAATTTAAATTTTAGTAAAGTTTTCTTGTAAAATCAATCAACGGACAAATAGTTTCTATCAATTCATTGATTAGTTCGGATATTCCGGTATTTATTTCGTGCTCTATACTGCATAATTTATGCTCAGTCGCTGTTTTGATCATTTGCAAAACAATGGGTATGAAATTTCTCTTTTTTTATGGCATTACCAAAAAACAATAAGTTTTTATTCTCGTTATTCGGTCTTCAGTGTCGTTGTACTACAAAATTTCATAATAATTGTCTACTTTTTAAAATAAATTGTGACCAACTCACATCTAGATCCAAGAGGTCAGCAGTTGGCAGCTTTGATATAAGAATTGTGAAATTATTTTATCTGAAATTATTTATCTCCGCTGAGAGGAAAATTGCTGTCGTTCAGAAATTATTGCTGGTTTTCAAAGTTTTAAACATTAAAATGTTCACTGAGGCTTATGTTAGCAGTTTTTGCGGCGTCTTTGCAATGAACTGCTCACAAAAGCTGACTCAACACTTCCTGAATTCCATTTGAGAGACCGCTTATCCAATCTCCAAACGAGCAAAAGAAAGCTAGACCGGAATTGCAAGCGAAACTGCAACTGTTCTGTATTTTTCCCAGCTTTGAAATACAGGGATCTGAGCTTTGAAAATTACAAGGGGAAAGTATAGATTAAACTATGGTGAGCGTTTTCCAATGATAAGTAAATTCATGAATATTAATATGAAATATAAATTTGCTGACCTTATGCTTGGAACTTTTCTTTACTGTGATGATCAGTCTCCTTTGAAATTTAAACACGAAATTTACAATATAATTTTTTAACGTCATAAATTTGACAACCGTTTTTCTGGATTACAATGAACTACAGTAGCAATTTTCAAAAAATTAACTGTGATTTTTTTTTAAATATTGTTTGACATCAGCTGAAAGTTAAAGCAATGGAACCAAAAATTTTCAAAATATTCACAGATTGCGTGCTCGCTACGAAATTCCACAGACAGTTTATGGCAATGCAGTTGAACCTGAAAAAAAAAAAAGAAGCACACCTGAGGTTCATCCAATGTCTGGCAATAAAGGCTGATGATTTATTCAGCGTTCCGGCTATTTTTTAAATGAGTATCTTCTTTTTTCATCAGAAATGTTCTGGGCGAGGCCCCTGATTGCGTAATCCATGCTAATTGGTGTTGGCGTGAGGCTTAAAAAGGATCTCTTTGTTAACGTTTCAAACGTGAAATATTTCAGTCGACGGTATTTCTGTTAAATTGGTAGTGAAGATTTGTTTGATTCCTCGCCAGAATGTTTTTCTATTGATTCCAGAAGGGACTGAATTACAATAAGTAAATCCAGATTCATGCGGAAATGAAGAAATTCCATTTAGGTACACGTATCATTATTCATAGTGCAACTGACCCAAAAAAGTTGTTTTCACTAACACTGATCCTCTATTTTTCGTCATTAACTACGTTATTCTTGTTATTAACCAGCCAGGGTAGGTGCATGATCATTTTCGTAAGCAACATTCGTTGCACTAAATTATTATTAGTTTGCTTCTAACGGTCTAACGCTTAAAAAGATCTAGATGGCAAAGCTTCTGAAATTGATGCACATATTCACTGCTCGAAACTGAACGTATATATGAATATTCTAAAAATTGTTTGCGAAGAATAGGTGAATCGTTAACTCGATTTGTTTCTCCCCTTTACTTACTTTTTATCGCTGCTGTGCAAATGAAAACAAGATGACACTTCATTATCGTACCCTGCGACGTAAAAAAGTTATTTAAACATATTGCGCATCTTTAATTACAGGAAATTCCTCACCTGCGACAAGAAAACATACGAGCACAAGCAGCAGCACACACGGGCATTCCCTTCCGTCCTTGCCTCGCAGCCCCATCTGCGAATAAGAAAAATCAACATTATTCTCTATTGACAAATTAAACATGGATACAAAAAATCGCTATTGGAAGGATGGTATTTCAATTATGCTGCTATTCTTTTAATGTTTTTCTATGAATAATTATTCGCGGGGGTAACGTTAGTTCGAGCAAATTTATATGATCGCTATCATCAGATTCGCTTTAGTAATAATCAATTTCCGAAGGTTGTTGTAAAAATCATGTTAGTTAAACTTACTTATACACTCTCTTAAACTTGTTAATTACAAAATGTTTCAAAATTTTTTAAATACTCGAATTAGTCATTTTGTATCGATATCTGTCAAATTTTCATTGATCTCACAGCCATTGATATGAATGAGAGCGATTTACTCTAAAGTGGTTTTTAATACAATAGAGAGTTCTTGTCATTATTCTTCAACTGCACATAATTTCATAATTCAAATTAAAATTTCAAAAGACTGCAGTTTGTTTCGAATATGAAAATTATTACCTCTATAGTAGTATTACAAACTTCACAACAAACTCAAATTTAAAAAATTATTTTATTTCCATTGTAAATTAAATCGATGACATAAACGAGTCATGTAATTGCGTCATATAATAATATGACACAATAACTTTTTCACTCTGCTGCGTGGTAATTGATGCGGCGTACAGAAAACTGAGCAGATGTCGACTAATTAGGAGGATCATTGTCGTATTTGCTGCAAAAAACAATAGGATCTTTTTCTTCCGTTATAAGTGCTAATTGGGTTATAATTCAATGGGATGACAGCTGTGTCAAATATTTGTGTAGCAACATTGCTGTTTCATTGTTTTCTTATTGGAGAAAAATTGTTAGCAGTTTTTAAAGTAGCGCCTTTGTCTCTGCTACGTTGCTGGAAACTTCAAGCGATTGACTACCTTTATAATTTTGTAGACTTGTAATCTAGTGTTATTCGTTTAATAGTGGAGGTACAATCAATTTTTAATCTTGTTCAAATGTTCAAGCATACTCACATTCTCATCCGATCTTCCGTGCAAACTAAACAGACGGAAACTGAATGGTTTTCCTTACCAATTCGATTACACTATAGAGTTAGTTACGTAAACCCTCAAAATTTTCGCAATGTGTATTAGGTTTAAGTTCGATTTATTTCATATACAACTCCAATTGTCTCGCACTTCTGGTTCTAAGGGAAAAGCTAATGATCGCGCAATAACATGACTTAATTGCATTACCACGACATGCATCGATGGCCATAATGTCCCACAGCGGAAAAAAAATAAATAATTGCTCTATGGAAACTATGTTATATGATGCAAATAAATGTTGTTTCCAGACGACTGAAGGTGCCCGGAGAATAACGAGTCCAGTAATTGGGACACGGATAAGTTGATTAATTTCGAAGTTCAATGGAAACGACAGCGTTTGACTGGCCATGTGGGTGACCTGTTTGCTGATTGGTGGACCGAAGTGAAACACAAACTTTAAGTTGATTGGTTGGTGCTGGTGATTGCACAGATTTGAATAGATATACCTATCAAATTCATTAATGAGGTCATCACTGCGTGCTGGACTCGAAGCTGTGGCAGGATTTGCTGAATTGTCGCACAGTTAATTTGTATCACTTCGAATCCATAAAAATTATTGTGCAATTTACAGCTTCACCAACAGGTTCATCGATTCTTTCATTAACGTTCGATGACAGCACCAACAAAGAGATTTTTTTCCTAAATTAAAGTCTATTATTTTATTTAGTATAGTGTAAAAAATGTCGAATCGGAAAAACTATTTAAAACGTATTCACTAAAAGCCATTGATAACATATAGTTTGAAATTAACGACTATTCGGAACAACGCCGTTGCGTGAATGTAATATATTTATGACAATGGTAATACATTTGCGATCTGCTTCAAAACACAGGCAATCTGAAGCACTTTAATATTATAATTACGAATGAACAATGATAATAAAGTATTATTTTCATTCCATGCCACGTTATTTCAAGTCCGTTTTTGAAGAAAGAAGAAATTTCCAAGCCTAATTAGGCAGCAAAGTCTTTGTGAGCGCCATTCTTTGAAAGAAAATGTACATTCTTTGGCGCTCGAGGCTGAAAGTCGCTCAACGGGAATGCCTGCCCGCTGACCAATTAGAGTAAATTCACGAAATTTCCTCGATTTACACGTGAGAATTCGTGAAACAGGTGCTTGATCGCCGAACGAGAATTTATCTATTGAGGTAAAATTTGGAATATCGATTTTCAAGATCACTTCAAAGTTAAATCTATGACAAATGCATGCCCAAAGAATAAATTGGCTAAATTTTTGCACAATTAAAATTTTAATTCATGATTTTTTTTCCGTATCTGCACCTGAAAAAAGTGGTCAATTAAACGATTCGTAGCAATTTCGACGGAATAGGTAAAATTGCTCTACTTCTGAATTTCTTGATACAAAATTCAATAAATAAAGTATCTTCAGCGCATTTTCTCATTCATGGAAAAAATGCACTATTGTGCTCGCCATGTCCGTCCGTCCGTCCGTCCGTCCGTCTGTCTGTCTGTCTGTCCGTCCGTCTGTCCGTGACCTCTAGTTTTCGTCGACGAGAAAATGCGCTCTCTGTCACTCACTGCAGTGAGTACAGAGTTATATTTTTTTTACTTTTTGGGAGTTATTTGCAATTTGTTGCTTCACTATTGTGTGCTTAATGTGAGAATTGCATTGAAGCAATTGGCCATTTTTTACATGGTTATTCAAATTATTTGGAATACAGTTCCAGCATTACGTGCGACTTGTATCTTTTGAATATGGATCATCTCCCCAGAATTACTTTCTGTTACGAAAATATATTCTCGAAACAAAAAAAATTTTTCCCATGCTAATATATATAAATGTGTAACTTTATGAGTAAAAATTTCTTCTAAAAATGAGCCTTTTTACCCAACGTTGTTCGAAGTTATAAGGTATTTGTCATGCATGCTTCTTTTTACTTCAGGAAAATTAGGCGCATCAGAAAAATCTCAAAGTTCAGAAAAGCTTTACCAATTCATTCTGGGAAATTTCCATTCAAACAAGAAATTGGCGAATGCTCTTGGAAGCGTAAGCCCTCATATAAAATAACTAACCACTTTTCGATCGAATCAAAATTCATACATTGTCCAAGATTGTTCCACGATAACAATCTCTGAACTGAAAAGAAGTATTGAACAATCACACTCATTTTACCAGGAAACTGCATTTGAAGTTTGCAGCAGGCAACTATTCATTAATTAAATAGACAAATAGTATAGAAGATGCAGAACGCGTTTCACGCTACGACTTCAATACTATCAGCTTTGCGAGATTGGATCATGTGAACAGGATTCCGTTCTAGTGTAGCCATCGCCTTTGAAGCTCAAATAATGAGAGGTTCCGGCACGATGCCTTTGTGCTTCCGACACATTCAGCCTCGCCATATGCAAGCTTTAATCAATTCGCCACGCGTGCAGTCTCACTGCAACGCCTTTCCCCAATCTCACCGGGGTCATCATATAACTCTGAATCTTGCAGAGAAAAATTACAAAATTTGGAATTGTGATTCCCCGCGAAAATAAACAAATCAAGTCTATTGCAAATTCGAAAAAAGTGGCCTGCTCTGAAGTCGAAATTTCATCATGGAGAAGAGTAGACTGGTAAAAATTATCTCAACATGACTACATTTTTTTAAGGTTTTCCAAATTTCGTTAAAACTTTAAGTTTAACTTAATTTTTTTCAATAAATTTCATCGATTTCTTGCCTGCCTTTTGTTTAATCATTGATAGTGTCATTCGGAATTCTCTGTCTGAAGTTCTGTGCACCGAGACCACCGCGTGCAGTTGCGATCAAATAAGCGCCGTCGGGAGGTGCATGTCCGAGATAATTGGTCTGTTCACGCGAGCGACGGTCCTGAATTTGCAGCCAACGTGCTGATTGCGTGGCGTGACCGGCGCGGAATCTTCCATCTAGTGACCTGTGTAATTTTCACGATTTCGGTGTCTTTGTCAGTGACACGTGCTCATCCGTCCTGCGTTTTCATGGAACGAATCTGTTTTGCTTATTTTTAATACAATTTTTTATCTCGCTAGTTGCATTAACTTCATTATGACTACAGCGAAAAAATCGCAAAAGTCCTTTGCAAAAATAGTTGTAACTAATTAATGCTTAATAATAATATCAGGCAATTTTACGATTTTAAATTCTATGTATAAAAATTTTTGTCGCAAAATAATTGATATTGCATGATTTATTTCAAGCATAAGAGCAATATTACCTTCGCGTATGACTCAACTCCATGATGCAGTCGCAAAGCTGAAATAACTCGATTAAGGTTCGATCTCGTGTCCGGTTTCCATGCAGTCTTTCCTAAGCACTTAAATTCAATCATTGGTTTGAATAAATGGGCCGTTAGTGAACATTACAACGATCGTTAACGCCCACTGCTACTGCCTATCAAGGGCGAAATATCATGCGAGGAAAGCACCAGCCTACCCTCGACTAAGGATGTTTTTATAAAGGAAATTGCAGTTTTCAGCAGCCATTAAAACTGTCAGTGCGACGCAGAAGTCCTACCTTGTGTAAATCATAGGATTCTTGGGGATTTGCTTGCATAACGGCTTGAGCTTGTGAAATAAAAGAATGGAAGCAAGATATATAATTCTGAATAAGGAACGCAGGGAAATCTTCCAGCTTACTTAGACTGAGTTTGCACAGTAATTTTGAAACTTATTAATCATTTGTGCCGAAAAAAGAAAAAATATACTTAAATTTTACTTTGAATTAATTTTCGGGGAAGGCAAAGCCTCAAAATTTGTTTTCGTTTAATTTGCTTTTCGAATTCTCATCAAGAAAAGTTTAATAATCAACTAGAACGCCACAAAATGAAAGGAACTTCATTACTGAGTTAATTAATTCATTCTTCAATAAAATAACGAGACATCATTTACCTGCCAAGTCGAGAACTCAATTTAATTACGCAATTATGTAGCGAGCCACCA